TTTCTAACGATGCTCGGCTGACCATCTTTTAAAAAAAAGACTTTCTTTTCTAGTGCTGCCCCCAATTTACCAGAATTAGTTAGTCCCCATTTTGCTTGCAATCGGTTACACATCCGTTAACTGGCAAAAGGCGGCAAGTCTGGTTCCTTGAACTGGCAATTCTCCAATTCTAAAAATTGCTCCGTTTTGTCTGGAGTATAGGTCAGGGAACAAGACTAGTACAAGAACAACGTTTTTTTTCTTGGTTTTTCTGCATCTATGAACACAAAACTTGAAACAGGTCAACGTAACAATATTTTCTATAAAATACTAACCCACAAATCTACAATTTATGAAACTTACAGCAAAAGCAAATGTTGTATATTCCCTTTAAAACCGTTTTGCTAATTATCAGGAAAACATCACAGTCACGCTACGGGCGAGCAATTCGCGTGCCGGCTGCGCGAGAACACACCGGATCGCCATATCAACAATTTGTCATCAAATTGGATTACCTAACCACCGCTAGCTTTTTTGGTAACTCATGAGCTAGCCTGGGGTTCATCCCCGTAGCATTCCACAGTGTCAACAGGATGGTACTGAATCCAGGCTAGCTGAAGTTATAGGATCGGTGACTCTGTGCGTTGAAATACACGCGCGCTGCATTGAATGTATCAACAGTATAACTGAGACCGATAGTGTGTAAAAATAGTTGGAGTGTTTTTCCTGCCCCGTTTAGAGCTAAATCAGTTCCAGGCATGCTCTGCCGATATCTGTGTTTATCCGTACAATGTCTGAGTCATCAATCTGGTAAATTGAAGCCAGTCTATATCCGGGAGGCAGAGCCAACTGACAAAACCGGTAAATATTTTGAAGGTCTGGACGGGTGGTGACGTCACACGACGCTGATGACATATCGCTGCGCGCTCGTTTTCAACGCTACCCGTTTTAGCGGATTAATTACAATTATGCTGAGTAGAGCGTGTCATGTCGATGCGCATCTATGCCAGAATGGCCAGAACGTTGACCACTTTCGTACTGACATTCAGTGGCTAACATAAAAAGTGGGACAAAACCACCTATTGGCCTTCGATATTTTTTTTAAAATTTTTGAACGGAATGACTTTCTATCGACTAATAAGATAATCCACAGAGCGTCAGTGAGTCAAAACCTTTAAATGATAAACTCCCTCAGCTTAATTAATTTGTCTATAAAATTTACTTGGAAATCAATCAATTAGTCAGACAGCGTTTATTGAATTTACGAGAGCTTAAGTATACAGGTGGTTAAATATTACCAAAACTTATGCAAAGGACACAATTAAGGGGACAATTTTATCAGAACTTGCTAAAGAGACTAATTGATTTTGACACCTGTTAGTGGTTTTGTTTTCTTTATTCATTCATTCATTTCTCTTTATTTGTATCCAATCGTGGCCCGAGGATTTACTTCCAAAAAACAACTCCACTGTTAAGAACTTAAGCGAGACCTAGAGAATAGACAGCGGTGGCGTCCAGATCAAGATTAAATTAAGTTGGACCGTCACGAAAATTCCGAGAAGATGTCAAATTTCATAGGATCCAATCAGAGCTTCTGATAAGAAAAAAAATGCTTAAAACAGATATGTGTGCTTAGCCTCTATCAATCGAGGACCAGTCACAAGCTATTCACATTGCATTGCTTTTTGGTTGGTAACCTTGTTCTGCTAAGCAAATATGTTTTGTACTTAGCAATTACTCCCCCTCCCCGAAGATTTCACGCGGCGTGTTGGCGATTGCCGCCGCTTGTCAAAATGCAATGAATTCCAAGTGGCATTTGATGACTGAAGGGTGGCGAGTAACGGGCGGGCGAACGAGCTGCTTCCGTCATATCGCATCAGGCCACACAAAGAAACAACATGTTTCTCGGGCAGATAGGCGCGCTATGTAGCAGCTGTTAGTTCCTGCAAGATTGTATTTGTTTTGCATTTGTTTGTTAACTAACATGATTAGTTTTTTTTTATTGGTACCGTAAGTTTCCATAGAATAATTACTCATACCACCTGTTTGGGCTAAATGATTGACACCTTAACATGTTTCATTAATTTTCGATTTCTAGTGCACTCTAAAAAGTCTGGGGTCAGATTTGACCCCGAATCCGGGTTTTATGGGGTCTGACATTTTTCCGGGTGACAATGACACTTTTCCAGGTCAAAAGGACCCGGAAAATGATTCAGAAAAGTGTAATTTGACCCCCCCCCTCCAAAGTGTCAGGCACCATTGAACCCGGATTAGCATAGGGAGAGCAAACTGACAACATGGTTTTTGTCCAGTAATGAGTGTACATGTATCACCGGCACCTTGAAATAGCAGATGGTGTGATCATATTTGCATGAATTACGGTGTATTTTAGGTAAAACTAGCCACATATTGTTTTAAAATCCCAATTTTCTCGTGGGAACATCTTTACAACACAAGTATATACGAGCGTTGTCGGATCATTTTCAATATTTAGTCAGCGTAAGGCTAGGTAGATTGGATACCGGTAGCTTTCCTTTGCAATTTTTCCAGGCATTCTTTTTGTGTTGTGGTCAGACCTCCAAACCAGGCAGGTGAGGCATATTCCAAAGTAGGCCTAATATATTGCACATAGATGGATAATAAATCAGGAACAGGGATTTTGCAACGTTTTAACTGACGTAAAAAGTACAATTTACGGTTAAAAACTTTACACATAGAACTAACATGGGTGTCCCACTACAAATTATCCTGTATACATGAATGCCTAAAACCTTAACATACTTAGTTTGAATTAAGATATCATCTCCTATGTACAAGTTAGGACATGCTAGGGGGTGTCTTTGAAAACATGAAACCATAACCTGACATTTACTAGGATTAAGTTTCATCAGGTTATTGGAGGACCATTCCTGTAACTGATTGAGTTCCTGCTGCAAACATTGTGTTTTTAAATGTGTGCGTGCAGATCATAAAAATACTGAAAGTTAGAAATCCCTGTGTTTACACAAACTTCAATTTCAGGCTGCTCGAAGCATTCTTTTAGCTGTAAGCTACACTCTTTACGTCTGTGAATAAACAGAAACCTTTTCCTTCCTGAAAGTGTAGATATTCTTTGTGTCCGTATACCCGTGAAAGTATCTGTGTCAATCGATTTCCCTACGGCGTGTTGCACGCGTGTTTCGGTGCTGAACCCAATTATAAACAGTCTCGCCGCCTCATTTCCACTCTACATAGAGATCAGTGGTCATTAGGCATGACACAGACCATTGACTTCAAATGGGTAATAATTTGCATTCGGGCAAGCTCGTCCATCTGAGACCATTTGCATCACACGGGTGCAATTCCTAAGGGATTAAACGTCCTCTGCATTCTCTCATATTTTTTTGGCCTTCGTGTTTTTTCGACAACTTCTCCAAATGTAGCAGCAAGTTTCTCGAAGCATTTAAATGCGTTCTAATCAATATTTCTAGGTGACATTTAGACTGGTATCTATACAACAATCATAATGGTTTCATAGTTTCTGCATGACCGGTGGGCCTTATCGGCACAGACATTGACCACGTTTTCGGCCCATGCAGGGCAGGGTACATTAGTGGCCGGAATTCACACGTTCAAATCGTACTCTCGTTAAAATTCTGTCAGCCGGAACAATAATTAACTTTTGCAGACATGTGTAAAAGAAAAAGTATTCCTATGTTAAGACAAATTTAACAAACTGGAAGTAGTCACTGTCACTTGCACGTGAAATTATTATTTAGAGGTTTGCCGTATAAGTGTGTCACTGCCATTCATACAATAATCATAACTATGTGTATTTTTAACAATATGCCTGCGGTTTCCTTTATTTATGTATGCGTTTATTTTTTTCATATCTCAGTCCTTCCTCTATTCCAACAGTTCCCGAAACTTTCCCAATCTAGCAGCAAATATGTTCTATAAGGATCTTCCTGATATTAAAAATGCAATGTGCGTGCTATTTTAAATTGTCACTTAAGAAATAGGCCATTTTTAAAGCAATACACAGTTTTCTTTTTTAAACTTTAGAATGAGTTATCGAAAAAAAACCCAAAAAACATCGGCACATTTTCAGTAATGCAACAATCACTTTCGATTACTTTGCCGCCCGCCAATAATTCAGTTCTTGCAAGGTAGACTGGTTCTCGCCTCCCTATCAGGGTCGGTATTGTGACAACCGGGAACCAGTCTGCTTGCCAGTGCGCAAGAGCAACACCCTATTTTCAGACGCCCAAAGTTGAAAGTACACAAAAAAAAAATATCGACCTTCTTTAAGAGCATGACAGTAGATCAGATTAAAGGAATAATCCCTGGTTCCAACAACAAAAAGAGCACCAAACAAATTCTAAATTAAGAAGTTTCTTAATTTTTTTTTTTAAAGTTTTGCAAAGAAATTGACTGGAGCTGGGTTTAAACCTGCGACCTAGCTCCGGATTGCAGTTCCGGTGCTCTACCAACTGAGCTATCCAGTGCTATGTTGGCGGTCCCCATTTTGTCAGTATATTTGTTGAAGGGGCGCTAGTCAGAAGCCTTAAACCCTATATGCCATGTAACGATCACGCCCAGAGTCACGATGATTTTGACCTTTCTTTTGTTTGTAAACATCGAGCGCCATTTTGTATGGGCTGCCGCAAGCACTTTAATTGAAGCCGTGGTTGGCAACATATTTTTCAAAAAAGTGTCCTCATAACACCTCATTAAGAAAAAAGGCATGTTTAGGAAGTACTTTGTTGCGTTTGTTGATAATTTTGTATTTTCAATAATCAAATAATATTTTTGTGATCATTAATAACTATTCTTCATTTTTGCAGTGTTGGGCCTTCCATAGTTTGGCAACCCGTGGTTGGCTAAATGTGCCAACCACGCGTCGGCGATAGAAATGTCAATTGCAACATTAGCAATTCTGCAAACTTTGAAAAAAAATATAATGTACCTAGTAAGTTTCCCTTTGAGATTTATTTGAAAGTTTATTAATACCAATGTTGTTCTTCTCTTTCATTCGACAGTGTCAACCCAATGAATTCTGCCTCGGCCGTCGCTATAGGAACATAGTCCAGACCTGCGCATGCCCAGAAGAAGTGCACGAAATCGACGGCCTTTTAGTATCCATCCCCACACAATGCCAATACGACTACCGTAAACGTCACTTCCTGTGTAGGCCAAAGGTCAATTATGAAGGTACTGACGAGCATGGTCGGTAGGAATCATGTATGTCCTATTCATCTTTATGCATATTCATATCGTTTATTTTTGTATCCGGTTCGTTAGTGTGACGTCAGTTCAATTAAAACCACGCCCACTGCCCATTTAGTAGCGTTGGAACCCTTGGAACCGGAAGCTAACGTAACTTGAGTGTTTATCCAATGGGCACTGGTATAATCAGTAGTGCGCGCGCGTGTATGACGTGTTTACTAACGAACCGGATATTTACTGCAAAAACTGTGTTTACCAATCAAACACTTTCCTAAACGCGTTCTTGCTATCACTTAGTCAACATGATTAAATACTCAAATTGTTTAGAGTATTCGTGAATAGTGGTTAGCAATTGAAGATTGCTGTTTAAGAATTGGGGACACATAATGTTTAGCTTCTATGCATGTTTACAAAGTGATAACAAGATTGTGTTTAATTGCTAAACACAATTTTAGCTCGTGTCGATTTGAAATGTCTGGATATGATTTTTGTATTCAAATTAGACATTATCAGACGCCCGCTGATAAAAATGACAAACTCCCAATTCCTCTTTCAATTTTGAATTAAAAACAATCGAATCCAGGAGTTTTAGGTTTCAGATTTTCTGCCAAACTGACAGACAGCTCGACATCCCGACTGACAAACAAACACCAGTTGACATATACAACTATTATCAGTTCAAACAGGCAAACAATTAATTTCGCAGATCATTTAGCCAAGGACAGACGACTCCGCGTGTCAACTTGCACTGTATAGCTTGTATACATTTCAACAATAGGAGTGCAAGCCACTGGCAGGGTGACCGTAAGGTCATGGCAAAATTCTGCTAAATGCATTTCAAAAATCTGTCAGATTTATCAAAAATCTGCCAAATTCCCCAGAATTACTCGAAATACACTATAAACACTTAAAATCACATGCAGATTTGCAGTGTTGCCTTAATAAAGGTTCAAGTTACAGTTTAAACAATCTATAGTCACATAAAGATGTTCTGAAATTATTGCGTAAATTTCAGGCGAAACGCGGTTGTGTCACGACGAAATCCGGTTCTTAGTGAACCTCAGCACCTAGAAAAGCCAACCTGTCCCAGTATGCAAGGGTTTGTTTGAAAAAAAATGAAGCTTTTTTAAACAAATGTACCATTTTTTGTTCAAATTTGCTATGGTTTTCTGTCAAATAACCATTTTTGCAGAATTCTGTCAGCAATCTGCCAAAAATATCCATTCTGTCAAATTTTCTTTCAAACTTGTTTTGTTTTTACCAAAAATCTGTCAAAGTTAGCCGAAAATTGGCTAAAACGGTCACCCTGGCCACTGGAGAATTATATATGACGACCACCGATCTCCATGTTAACAAGAATCCGGATTGCCCATTGGCTGTTCAAAGTGAAGTCACCCTCCGCCATTTTACCACTCCCATAACAATGGAACTGTTAACAATTGTACTGTATTAATGTACGATGGGAGTGCTTTTACAGGTTCTCATACCATATTCGAATCGAGAGATTCGGAACCAGCGCGCTGCTTCAAATCGGTGTACAGTGCGCAATGGTCAGTGGGCTATCCAGATTTTGTTTAACATGGCGATCAGTGTTGTCGATTGATGGGGAATATTGTTGACTCCGTGCATGGATGAGCGTCTAATCTTGCTATGAATAATTTGACGCAATCTCGAAAGATCTCAATTAAAGATTGAAAACTGTGTAACTTAGCATTAAGTCTCATTAATGTTGAATCCTTACTCTCTAAATTCCAAAGAGTGAAATAAGGGACTAGACATTTTAGAGTGAAAATCACTCTCATTTCGAATGAAATAGTCTGAAAAAAGAACCACTTCAGTCGAAGCTCGAGTGAAAACTCGATCTTTACGATTGAAGAAATTTCACTTTGAAACGTCTAGTCCCTAGTTTCTGACTGTAGGAGTGAATCTTCACTCGAAAGGAGTGAATTTTCACTCTTTGGAATTTCGAGAGCAAAACATGGATTTTACAGGATGTCTGAACATTCGAATGGGCAATTCTAAACCTCTTCAATGTGACATGTAATCATGATGAAGGGGATTTCTTCAGGCGTTGTACATGTATAGCACGTGTTAGATTGACTTTCCATCCCAGTCATATCTTTTTTTCAACCTCTCTGAATCTAACAGAGTGATTTTAACTCTAAATTCCTACTTCAAGTGGGAAATAGAGTGACCTTTACTTGTTGAAAACAAGATAGACCCTCGCTAGGCTTTGAAATGCATTATGTATTGAAATCGAAACCAGAAAGTGAACACGATAATTCAGCCAAACAGTAATTCTTTGTTGGTTTATACGATAATGTTTGAATATCTCGTGGGCCGGGAGTCGATCTGAATTAGTTAAGAGGTGGTCAGGTAAACCTCTCACCAACATAAAACCATGTATCCGCTGCCAAGCGAATACTCAGTCTTAACAGATCGCGAAACCCAGTCCGAGGCAATTAATCCAGACACGATTCTATTTGCAGGTCACCACCCCGGCAGCTTCATATCCAGACTTTTCAACGATTTCACCAACAAGAGGCGATAATGTCAAAGGGTCTTCACACCTTCGGGATATAGATATGGACTTGATCGATATTTTTTTTTCTGTTGCAAATGGACTATTTCTATACGCACCATCCACACGCTCTGTGTGAACCTCCTATAGTCCTGGTCGTTTTATAAAGACTGCACTTGGAGACTGAACGAGCCTATCCAAAATGGCCGCCTTAGCAACCACCAGAGATGCGACTTTGAGTCTGCGGATATTGGATAAACAAACCGAGAAGGGTATTAGCTCGGGTATTCCGGATGAATTGCTTCCTTTATACACACTCTTGTCCCTTTTTTTGAAAAAAAAATCTGGATATGTTTTAAAAAAATCATTGCTAAAAACAGGACGTATGTATGGTGTTTAATTAATTGATCGAACCAGCAATAAATTAAAATTGACAGGTATTACAGGCAACGAGACTTATTGTCGCCCATTCATCAACTGTGACTGAGTTGCTTGTTCGTTTCGCAAGCAAGTAATTAATTAAAATTTGTAAAAAGTGGGCGATTTCGAGCGATTCTTGAGGGTCATTAAAGGGTGAAGAACAAGCTCATGCTTTGATGGCGGCGTCAACATAGGCGCTTCAGTCATAAACCTACTTAAGGGAGGGGGTTTTAAACCTGGCTTTAGATCCGAAATTCAGCTTAGGGGATTTTAGGTCCCAATGGCTGAATCAATATGTTCAATTTAAACTAAAGTTCAAATCTTATAAATCAAGCCACATTTGCATAAGTAGGCCTTATTCCAATTGATTCTGACAACTGTGATTCTAAAGCCAAAGGCAGACGCGTCGCAGGCAAAGCTTCGGGGAAAATGCAGCTTCGATATAGCCTAAAGTAAAATGTGTTAAACCTTTACCAATTACAACATAAGAAGGTTCTTTGACAACGTTTTCATTACTTAATCGATATTTGACGAGGCCATGTACATTCACTTGTTTTCAACGTTAAATTGTCATTGAAGTTGAACATGTCAATAGAACTGGCCGGGTACCATGTTACCGAAAGCATGTTGGAGACCGTATTTTATTACATTAAGTAAGCCTATTTAATATTTATTCATTGTACTATTCAATTAATATTAATAACTGTTAAATTTGTGTTATGTCTTTGTTACTATCTTTGAATGTTCTGATTTGTGTACCTTATTAAATTACCTTTTAAATGTATTGTGAACTGTACATTTAAGTGTTGTGTGGCTGTGACATCGTTTGAAATGCGAAAAAATATTGACAATTGGTTTTCTAATGATAGTCTGTAATCCTGAAATCTGAATCAAATTCTGTGTTCAAAATAATTTCCTTGAAATACTATTTTGGGCGAATTAGTGTCTTTAACTGAGGTTGTCGGCAGGGCTGCAAACTGTACTTTTTTTCTTTCAATTAAAATATTAAATACGTCACTTGTAAGTGTGCATACGTTGAAGTTCGTGGTAATTAATTAAAAATTGAAATAACCAATGTGTTTGTCAAATCGCTAACTTTATTCAAAAAATTACTGGCACTAATATTATTACTGTGTTCGGAATAATACGAGTGAATTCTTGAATAAACAGATGGATTAAAAAACTTCCGTGCATGGCGAAAATTTAACAAAAGAAACGGTCACCACGGGGCATATTGCAAATTATTAAATATTAGGCTACGGATTGTACCTTTGTGGATAGCGCGCTTTTTCATAAGCCAATGAGCGCATTAGCGGCAATCTTACAAAGTTGATCTTCCATTTTTAATGTGATGGGCTCTTGTGCGGATTACAGTCTGACAAAAACATCTCAACAGGTGTTGTTTTAGCACTGGGGAGGGCAGCTCTCTTGCTTGACTTCGTAATGCACACTGAAATGTAACATTGAGGGTTCATGCAGTGATTTTTTCTAAGGAACATAATTGTGCAACATTCTACTATTAAAGAGGTTGTGGAATGCTGAAAGTCGTTTTGTTTTTTATATATTTTTTTTATTGTAGAGTAGACCCATATATACCGTAATGACAAAGTCCCATTCTTTTGTAATGTGCGTTTATATTATGTTAAACTGAAATTCATCAAGTAATTTGTTGGTCGGCGAGCGCATAATTGAAATCAACAGTCGTCGGGTTCTTCGTAAAATGAGAAAAATCGTGACGTAATAAACAGGACTCGTTTATACTATGCTGCATCGGGAGTCCTGTTTATTATGTCACGATTTACTATGTTTTGTTTGCTGCCCCCAACGACGACTTTTACACAAATTGCGCGTCGGGTCGAAACAGGATCTGAAAAACAGCTCTCAAAAGTACCTTTTGTACTCATTTCATGACAGACACAATAGTCGTTTTTATTTCATCACACCTTAGGCTACATATACCCGAAAAATGACTTAAATGTTTTCGAGCATTCCACAACCTCTTTAAATGTGTGGAAAATATTCCACATCCCTTATTGGTAAATTTGATTGAAAAGTTCACTTCTTGAATTATATGACACATTTAAAATTGTCCATGCTTTTCTGGACAACTGAGAGACTGTTGACGTGATGTCATTTTAGGAAGACATTGTTAAGTTTAGGGGTTTTGTGTAAAAATTGTGAACCCGAAAAATTTGCTTATTGAAAACGTTTGCTCACTGGCTTCAAAGAAAATCTACGACAGCGAAATATTCAATCATCTGGCAAGTTTTGGTGCTGAAATAGCTGTAACATTGAGGTTTCTGATTGAAATGATAAACACTTCTGCCATGAAAATGGAAATTGGCATTAGCATAAAACAAAACAAAAAGGCGCCAAATCACCCTTTAAACGGCAAAACGAAAATGTAAAATAAGGTTAAATGGTACACAAAGGTGCATTTCCAAGGATTGCATTAAAAACATTACATTGCATGGCCCTTTAAACCAAATCTTGCAACTTCCGAAGTTGATTTGGTCAAATACCAAATGATTGACCCTTCCAAGCCAAAAAAAGCTTTAGAGAGAGAAGTATGCAATTCAATTTATCTAACCAAGTAATCGACCCAAAAATAAACTTCAAACACAGTGTGCCGTCTGCAATGCACACTGGTCCAAAGCAAACACCACGAAGTTCAAATATACATTTAGCCCGATCTGCGCCTCAACATCGAAATGTCATGCGTCGAGAAGGAGGAAATAACCCATTGAACTGTGAAATAACAAAACACTTCAACAGTCGTCGAGTACCCGTTGGTGCCCGAAGCTTGAGTCCCACGTGTCAAACAGTGTGTTGTGTTTTTAAAGATGGCGGGCCGCACTGCATCATGGTCCCCCGAGATTATTCGAACGGGCAATCGTGATGACCTCCACAAGGCAGTCGCTAGAGGGGAGGGGGGATGGGGTTGGGGTGGGGGTGAGACCCCAATTCAAAATCTCTGTCGGCAAATCCATAATTGTTGTGGGCAATTTGTAAAATTTAGGGCCTTATTTATTTTATTTTACTGTTGTCGGCAAATTTTAAAATCTGAGGAACTTTTTAAAATTTTTGTCAAATATTTCGTCAAATGCTTGTCAAATATTTCGTTGCAAATTTGTCGGCAATTTTGTCAATTTGAGGACCCTTTTCTTATTTTCGCTTGTCGGATGTTTTGTACGTACAGTTGTCGGCAAATTTGGTGTGACACCCCCTTCCCCATTGAAAATGTTCTAGCAACGCCCCTCCAGAATAATGCGGTGGGCGTTTAATTAAAGTTTTAAGCATCGTTTTGTACATTTGGTGAATTCCGGCTCTGTATGGTTAATTTTTTTTTTACGGTATTTGAAAACAAAGACTGTCTCGAGAATTGACATTTTGTGTGTTGACGTCTTGTCCCCTAATAATATTTGTTGTAACTTGTTCCCTAATAGATACCTAAATCGAAAGCTGAGTGCTTCAGGAATAACGTTGTCATCGTAACCGTGACATGTTTTTCACAAGATGAGCCTGGGGCAAATTTTAATCATGAACCGAATCACTTGGACGATTTCAAAATAAGACGAGGCGATCAGTTCTAAGTAAACTGGACATCACTGGGGCCTGGGCGTCGCCAGGATTTTTTCTAGAGGGGGGCAAAATTTTTTTTTGCCAAAAAATGCTTGTATTTCTCAACACATTTTCGATTTATCAGTTTTAGGGGGGGGCAGGGACATTTTGCCCCCCCCCCAACTCATTAAATTTACACCACTTTGTCTTCGCGCCTCTTTGTTGTTTTTTCTTTTCTTCCTTTTTTTTTTTTTTTTTTTTTTTTTGCTTTTCCAGGGGGGGGGGGGGGGCAAGTGCCCCCCTTGCGCCCCCCTCGCGACGCCCATGCACTGGGGACTGTTTCTGATTGAAATTCACAAGCAGGGGAGGACCTAGCTTGGGATGGAGTGGGTGTTGATATGGAGTAGGTTGGTGGGGGGGGGGGTTGAGGGGTTGCGGGCCCGGGGCATCCCCCTCTGAAAAAAATTAATATATACGGTGATATATTCCAAGGCAAGTTTAGAATAAATTTAGGAACTTCCAATACATTTAGGCATTCCATTGAATATGTTTGGCCCAATCTTACTAATATCGTAAAATAACTCTAGCAGCTAAAGTGGGGGTGCAACCCCGCCCCCTCCTTTAGATCCGCTACTGCCAAGCAATGGAGGGCAATGGGGACCTCATTATCAAATGCTCGTTAGGAATTCGTATATTTCAATGTTATGAAATTATTCCATTTTTTTCTCATATAAAGTCCCTGATGAGCGTGCTTTCCTTATTCTGGCACAGTGATATTTGTTTCTGAATAGGCCTACTCAACTTTATCCCGAAACGAAAACCCTCAAGATGTCATTCAAGCAGCACATTTTTAAAATAATCTCTTGAATGTTTCGAATGCTTCTGTTCCCTGTCATCGTATACAAATAAATAAATCTTTCAATTCGATTAGGATCTAACCCATTTGAAATGTCAAATCACAACCCTATGTAATAAGCCGTGGCATTTACTTCCCTTTTGCCTAATTAAGTACGGTTACTTCTGGGTTTGCGCTGGTTCCGATCCAGGAACCGTATTAGCTGCACCTGAGCGGGGACCAGTGATCACAGATGGTTGCCTACCAGGCTAATGGGCTTTTTAAAAATACCACCCAGATATAGTTAATTCAATTTTGGTCGAAGATGCCGTGGGGTGTCATTTATAGATCGAGGCGCATGTCACGCAAATGTTATGGGTCATGGTAAAAAAACCCCTGGGTATCAACGAAACTAAATTTCAGTGTTAACAATATTTTGACAGTCGATTTATTGATAAATTGAAACACAGGATGAATAGAAAAAAGGAAACCCAAAATGGCGCCCCTATTTTTGAAACAGTTTTGCATTTAGCGCGTTCAAGATCTATGATGTGAAGGCCCAAGTAATAAGCTTTCTTTCAGTAAAAGAATCATTCAAATCGCTCATGCATTTTCTAGTTATGGACTTAAACACAAACACAGTTTTATAGTATTGGCCACGGATCACAATAAAGGTAAGTGATATTTCAGCAAAAACGAAGACAATTGACATATCCAAAAAAAATACATCATAACATTCTCCAAAACCATGATAACTGGCTCTTATCATTACCTTTATTTAACACCTTCTGCTTCCAATGTTAAAGCAACATGCTTTATAATGTCAAGAGTTTATAGTCTTGCCCTGCCTTCTTCTTGGCTACCCTGGATACTTACGGGATTATTCGAATATCGTTTTCAGGATACGACACGGTTTCATTTGACTAAAGTATCACGTATCGTAAATGTGATCCGTGGACAAAATTGTAAAACTGTGTTGTGTTCAAAATTCCATAACTGGAAAAATTCATAAGTGATTGGAATGATTCTTTTATTGCGCCACATGCAGAACTTCCTTAAAAAATAGGGGGCGCCATTTGAGTTTCCTTTATTTTTTTTTACTCACCCTCTACTTAAAAGGGTCGAAAGTTTTCGTATGAAATAGCCGCTGCTTTTCGTAGCATACCGTAGCGTCGTCAGGATAAAATTAATGATGATATGAATGCCTGATAAAAACGAACGTATAGTAATTTTGTGAATCATATCTTTTTCGACGACAGACGGCTGTTGCATGACTGTTTTGGGGCGGCTCAATATATTGCGATGCTAAATTCTAGATTATCACTTAAAACAAACTGCGGACTGTTGGAATTTCACCTGATCACAAGAAAGACCCTACCATGCTATAAAAGTGTGCACAGATCAATGTGAGAGTGTGCACGGCGCGACTCCATTTCAATTGTGTGGCTACGGACGCCTACGCGGGCACTTATGGGGTACCGTGGCTAAACACACCGATACAGGCGGGTTTTTAAAGTGTGTATATATAGATTTGATTACCATTTCGCGAGGGATTGACATTTACCGAATAATCTGACTCAATCCAATTCTTTTTCTCTCGCCTTTATTTTGTTTTCCTTTTTACAAATCGATGGTTGCTGTATTAAATATTTGTGTTAAATTCTGAGGACAACCC